CTCAAGTATGGGCCATCGGCGAATATTATCACTAAACAAAAAACCACGACTACTGCAAAGTTCGTTTACAATTCAAAAACAGAACTATATGCCTTCCGACTCTGTTAAGACCAGAGGCCCCTACAACTATTGGCCCTGATGAGTCGTACGAAGAGGTCGAATATATCGAGGATGAAGAAGAGACGGAAACGAAGTCAGAAATGGTGAAAAGCACTCTTCCAACATTTTCCAAGGTCAGTCTGAAATTGCACAACAAATTAGAGTTGATAGCTATTGTATCAACAACGAATTCCAAAAATCTCGAAATTTACTTCACGGCGGCTTGTCACCAAGTTTTGTAACAATTAATCTTTATTAATCCCTTTCAGTCATTCTAACGGCTTTGCAGGACCACCTTCATACCTGACATCAGAAATTTTCTTCCGATTGATTCAAATTTCGCAATAATTTTGCTTTCAACACCATACAATCTCTTGTCAATATCATACACATTGTAGCAAAACTTATTCTAAAATATCTCGTTTCCTGTATTTTATCTTGTCACGCTTAGGTGTGCTACAATGAGCCACTTTTTTTATTGATATTAGCACCTTAAGCGCTAATATTTTTGCACAAAAATGTGATTTCTCTTTTTCCTTACGCTTGGTTTCAGTCCTTAGATAAGAAGTAAAACTACTCGATCTTGCTTTTTTAGGCTCACCCCCGAAAATGCAAAAGATTATTCTGAGACCACTGGCACTGCTAATTTTATGACTGTAAAAACTACCCTTTAACTGAGATAGTATTGCGCTATTTGAGCAACTCTGAGAAAATTGTGCTTTCCGAGAATAATGAAAAAAAACTTTCTCCTATTTCGTGACGAGTTAATAGAATCATGAGAAACTGTGAAAAATATTTAAAGCGTACAAACTTCTCTCTTTATAATATAAAAAGCAGAGCATAAGTTGACCCTATTGCGGAGTTATTTTTGATTTTCCGAGGATTACAACAGCAAGAGTGAGTATTTTCTCCTCG